AAAAAAAAAATGTTTTCCAGGTTTCATGTGATGCTGTTGATTCAGCACTGTTTTTGCTTTACCCATTCCTCCTCTGTTCCCCCCACCTCCTCCAAGTTTTGCGGTGATTTCATCTTGTGCAGGCATATGGGATGGATCTGTGAGAGCTAGAATTAAAATGCAGCTGGAGGCCCCTGGTGGCTCCAACAGAGGAAGATGATCCAAGCTTTTGCTTTGTCAAATGCATTAAATGCAATTGATGAAGTCGAGAAGGCAACATTTAAAAAATGTAATTAATAATACTGAATTAAAGAATTAGTATGGTAGTATATGAAATCATGTACAATTTCCTAAAGGATTAGCTTTTTGAAAAAGTTTTATTTTCACTTTGTTCAGTCATTCATGCATTCGGCAAAAAATATTTATTGAGCACTGCGTAATGTTCCTGGGCCTGTTAGGCCCAAGGAATACTAGTGGTGAGGAAGACAGAAAGGGTTCCTGCCCTCAACAAGCCTTCAATTAGCAGATAAGGAAGACCAACAAATAAACAATCACCTATGAGTTAGTAGTATTACTTGGTCATATGCATTTTGCACATCCTAATTCTTACTCTGGAGGCTAAACCAGTGCTTCTCAAACCTTTAAGTGCTTACAGATCACTTAGGGATCTTAAAATACAGATAATCTGATTTAGGAGGCCTGGGGTGGGGCCTGAGATTCTGAATGAGCTCCCAAGTGATACCAGTGCTGCTGGTCTGTGGGACCACTCTTTGAGTAGCAAGACTCTAGAGTGTTCTGATTGAAATACCAGAGAACTAACTCTCTTACTGTAGGACTTGGCCATATATATACATATCTATATCTATATCTATATATGTATATATACATATATATACACATACATATATGTGATGATGTGTATATGTATGTGTATATATATTTTAATCAAGTATGCAAAATCTGTGATATCTCATTAACAGGATGCTCAAAGTGCAAATAACTTTAAATTCAGCTTGCCAGTATTTATTAGATCCCTGCTATGAATATAGTTCCTTGCTGTGGAAGGATACAAGAGAAGTGAAGATGCAAAGATTGCTCTTCTGGTTTTAGTCTATTAGGGAGGAGGAAACCTAATAGAAATGAAAGAGTTAAGGCTTAGCATACTGTAAAATGATATATAATATAAACTGACTATGTAAATGTCTTCAGCAGGGAAAATTAACAAAATTACGAATGAATGGTATCCTTATATGTTTAATTTAGTCAACTGTTTTTGTTTAAAGCCATCTGCTTTCATTGGTATTGTCAGTAAATGAATGGGGTTGTACTTATGTCTCCTAAAAGTGAAAGAAAGATTTATGAAATTCAAAGATATTGCAGAATTCCAACACAATTTAATTTACTAGTAACTATTATGTATGTCAAAGCCTTTGGCCCTTCAACAATAGGTTTATTTTAAAGATTTTATTGGGGAATTGGGGAGGGGAACAGACAAGTTGCTGTCCTTTTGTTCTTCAGTCTAGTTGTGGAGGACGTCGCTTCACTGGCCCCAATAATCATGTTGGTATTATGATCATTGTGCTCTTCCCGGCTGAGGCAGTCAGACGCCGGCCATTGGATGGTGACTCATGGCGGCTCTCGCTGGCTGCCAGCCACTCACAGTAGCTCATGGCAGCCCACTGCAGCCCCAATGCAACCTATGCTGTCGCTGGCCACTCATGGCAGCCCAGCTCCAGGTTGAGCTATTGTTCACTATCTTAGCTGTAGAGGGTGCAGTGTCACTGGCCCATGTGGTAATCAATCCGGTGGCCCTGCTGCTCAGAGCTTGTGCTCCCAAGCCAACTCTTAACCAACTGAGTCACTCCGCTGGCCCCAACAATAGGAATTTGTTTTTCATTGCCATGGGTGAGATCTTTT